CGAGTTTAAGACTACGGATGTTTGATAATATGAAGGGAAAATCAATGGTAACCATGATAAAAGTAAAAAGATGGATAAACACATACGAAATTCATATTAGGTAATTTCCAAAACATCTGTTCACACATTTTTACTTGTCAAGTCAATTTACATAAAAAACAAGGGCCAATTAAAATACACATTGACATAAAGGGCTTAGAAATAATAAGAATAATTAACTTAACTTCTGGTTATGTAATCAGATAAGGGTTATCAAGGTAGGTTAAGAGTAACAATAATATTCTATTGTACTCATACAGGTTGAGGGTTTTAAGTTTGTGAACAGCTTTTGCCTCAACGTATTTCAATAAGCGCCCATGGCCATTTTTATAAGTTACTTTAAAAGCTGTTTTGACATCAATCTTGTGGCTTATATAGATAAGTTGTTCAGCTAGAGACGGTTTTGTAAGTCTGCCACCTGCATCTATCGATTTTTCAAAATTCATCTGTTTTTAAGCTCAGTATACAATGAATTATATCTCCTCTAGAAAGGTACTTCTGCAGCACTAGGTGAAGCGGGTTCTAATCTCAGAAGGGACAGGAGTTCTTGATATAAGTATAGGTAATAGATCACACAGTGTTGTACAGTAATATTAACTGATGACATTTCGAGTACAAACTGTTGCTCATAATCATATCAAGTTACTCACACAACTTTTTTCTTTCATTTATATACATGTGTGGAATCGATTAGATATTGGAATAAAATTCAATATAGGATAATGTAAACTCAGAAATAATAATACTTTTTTATTTATTTTATTTATTTATTTTTGATTACAGCTTGATTTCACAGTGGATTTTTGGTACAAGTATGGAATTTTCAGCATGGATATCGGTAGCCCAAATTTTGCAGGCCGACCATAGATATCAGGTGTACGTCAAAAGGGATCGAACCTCGGACCATGTGCATGGTCGGCGAGAGTCCTAACCACTGTGCCACCGACGCACGAGTGTTAGTGAACAATTACAATTAGATGGAAAATGAGACGAATGTTTTAATAGTCATAATAAGTTACTTGTTAGAATGTTGTGATGTGTTTGAACTGAAATAGAATTTTAAGATTATTTATTATCCTCTTCTGATATGACCTGTGGTAATAATATCTTCCATATTTCTGGTATTTGCATTGAGTCATTTCTGTTGCATGTGTTGGGTATGGACTCGATGAACAAGGATTTAGTAATCAATCTCTCTCTCCACCTACCTATATTACTTTTTAGAATTTTAATCCTATCTCACCCTATTGTGTGGTTGTTTGTTAATGAGTGAAGTGCAATTGCTGAGCATTTTTCTAAACTACTTATCTTTTCAGGGTCAACCATTCTTACCTTAGCTAAATTCTTATGTTCTGATAATCTAACTACCCCAGGCCTACTAGTTTGACCTATGAAGTTGATCTCACGGTCATTGCAGGGTATTTTGTAAATTATATTATTTTGTCTAATTGGGTCAACCGACAGGGTCCTTTAACCTACAGAGCTTGTCCTGTCTGAGTGAGTATGAAGGTTTGAATGCCACTCTAATTCCTGCTTTATGAAGAATCCTACGTAGGGTCTCAGATGTCCCCTCCTTATATGGCACAACAGTGGATGACTTATATTCTTTCTTATTTATGTTATCATCCACAATTATTCTTATTTTGTTTTTGGCCTTTACTGATCTTCCTAATGAATTTTATAGGATAGTTGTTCAACACCAACGCTTCTTCTATCTGTACTATCTCGTCATTTAGGTCTTTTCTTGTGCTACTTAGTGCTATGGCTCGGATTGTTAGACATTTAACTAAGCCTGCCTTAACAGTTAAAGTACAACAATGTGTGATTTATCAAAATAAAATCTTATCCATAAGGGACAGGAGTCCCTTCGAGATTGAAGAAAGGCACAAGCACAAAATTAAGGTCCAAGGCTTCCTGACGATTGCCTTCAACCATCTAACAACAACAATTCTGAGTGTGACGTGATGACCAGCCACCTCGTATGGTAGCCACATTGAAAATTTGACAGATAGAATTCATTCTGCAGTAAACAAAAGGACTAGACACACTACACCAATAAATTCCCAACCAATTAAATCAGCGTCAGCTCTTCAATATAAGACATACAGACATCCAACGATAAAGGTCACAATGGGCTCTCCTTAGCAATGCCATCAACTTGTTTAAAGTACTCACCTTCAAAAGTGAAATGGAAACCATCCTTCAAATAAGTTGAAGGAAAAGGGAATAAAAAACAACTAGAAAATATATGGTCACAAAGAATATCAACAATCTGAATCAATGGTACACAGAAAATTACCATAAAAAGAATACATTTTCATTTCCTCTTTGATGTTAATGTTTAAAGAAAGTCAACAAGTTCAAATGTATCTTTCAAAGAGAACTTACATAATTCTTTCAGTACTGCGCTTAAAACGTCAGCTAACCTTTTTACTAATTTATGTCTAGAAGAGCGACACATTGGTGGAGTTTGCGGTAACGGATTGTCAACCTTATGAATCTTGTGTAGTCCCCTGAGTTTTAATGAATTAAAACCTTGTTTGTCAATAACATCCATGCCACAATGTTTCACAATGTGAAGATGTTACTTCTCTTTTGAAATTTCTGATGTATCTTATACCAGTGACTATCAACTAAACCCATTTCTATTAAATCCTGATAGGTGTGTGTCAATGTAGTTGAAGATTGAATGATCAATTCATTGTTGTTTGCCCAAACCCAACTCTATATTTTGGCGGGAGTCATCGATACTGCAGTCATCGTTTCATCCTTCGCTGTTCGTTGGAAGACAGAGAAAAACTATCAGAAGTTTTATTGTGATTGATTGTCATGACATTTATTCTTAGACTTTGTGTACAATAACCTAATGGTTGACTCTGTATTGGTGCAAGAATAAAGGGTTCTTGAGTCACCAATTTGTGTTCTGGATTTTCGCGTTGGTTATTACGCATAGTTCTCGAAAGTCTTCCAAGGACAGTGTGAAGTTCAGTGTGGTTAGACCTGAACATTGACAGTGTGTGACGAATTTGCCATCACTTGAGCTTCCAGCACAGGAGGAAAAGTCATTATAACTTGGTTTCAATTTTTATATCCTAATAAATAATTTCTCAGACTTACTGATTGATTCTCAGTTTGAAAATTGGTATGATCAGTTGGGTTCTCTAGTTCCTACCTCACATGGATGACCTAAGCCGTTTGAAAGCTAAATGTGTAGATGTCAACGAAAAGACCGATGTAGGAAAGGCTTATGGTATTTATTTTTAGAAACGGTCTGGAGCACTAATTGAGATACATTGAGACGATAGCTATTCGTAAACTAAAAGCCCTCCCCCTGTGTGAACACGAACAATTTGTTATTACTCTAAATCTACGTCGCTAATCTTTATCGGATTATATAACCAAACGACATATTAACTATTCGCATTATTTCTAAGCCCTATTTGTCACTACGTATTTTAATTGGCATTTATGTTTCATGTAAACTGACTTGACAAGTGAAGATGTGTGATCAGATTGTTCAAAATGTATTGCGCAAATACATCATATTTTTCAGATAATCTCCGTCTTCTAATAACACTGTATTTTTTTAAATGAACACATTTTTAATCATATTAGTAACCCTTTGTATCATGCTATTTAATTTCCTCAAAATGATTTCCTCACGTTAATTTCAAAATAGTTTTCTTTGAATAATCGTCTTCGGTGTAGTGTTAAGGATGTGAATTCAGCTCACCATTTCACGTGATAAGTATATTAGCTCATATTCTCACTAAACTACAAAATGCATTCACATAAACTGACTACTTTCTGCATTCACATGGTGTGCGAATTGTGCTGCCAAAGCGTTTGACTGCAAGATTCTCCTGAACAACCTCGAGACACAAATAAAATTATGGAAGAGAACCTTTCGTACAACATTCAAACAGATAGCACCCTTTGATACTAGGAGACTCTCTTCTTTTCTGTTGAAGGAGTAGCCGTAAACAAAATTTAAAAAACATCAATATACATGTATGCTCGATGACAACATTGGTCTGAAACAACTGGTTTAAGACTGACAAGTAAAACTGAAGGTTCTCTCCACATAAAGTGTACAAAATGTTGTTTGATTGATGGTAGTTAGCAGTGGAATCCAGTTTGTTTACTAGTGAAAATCAGTGTAATCCAGAAGAATAAAAATAAATGATATCATGTTAATCTTTAGATATCATCGAAGCAACCGTACTAGGAGTAAACATGTCAAAAGAGACCAATACTTGCAGATGATATTGACTTGTAGTCTCACTGTATGTCGTGAATTGGTATAAGTCATAAGTGATGGGTAATTGGATAGTATCCTGGTGTCTGAATGATCGAGGAGAATACCCTGCATACTGAAGGTCCTAGGTTCGATACCTGGTGCAGTCATTGATACACAGGGATAAGGAGTTCCGAACAAGGGGGAACAACTGCATAGTATTCCCCGGTTTTCAGGGGTTCTCTGAATGATACTACTTTGAGGTCAGTCTTGAAACCGATACAGTTGGTCAACTGAAAATACAAAAAGCAACGCACAAAAGATAATGGAAGAGTTTTAATTTTTAAAGATTTAAACTGTAACAGTATTCAAAATGACACCTTTCTTCTTCATATAAAATTGTGTACGTGACAGTCTAAACTTAATTGAAAACTTTAGAAGTGAAATTAGTCAAAATATGCCATCGTAATCTCATAATTCATAATTTTTAATAAAGCGCTTCAAAGTGCTACACTTAACAATATAAGGTGTCTCTGCAGCGTGAACCAATTAAAAGCCTTTAGTCATTAACTATTTTGACTAGACAAAATCACAAGAATGCGCCATAAGATACACGTATTTGATAAATAAACCTGAGAATAAATCATATATATACTAATAAGTGAACTCGTATTATGCCTTCTCGCCATAATACATGCATTCTGCATACTGCTTGCTATACAAGTCTGCTATCTGCATTGTTTAGCTGTTCATATAAGTGAGTTTTTCCTTTGGTTAGTTGAACTCAATCTACTTAATTCTAAAACAATATTTTGAACCCTGATATGTTGTATTTTCAGTATTAGACGATCAACGTAAGTGTTGTTTCGGTAGTTTGCTTATTTTACTATTAAACAACTCAGGTACATTCAAAATTCTCAGCATAAGAATCTCTAAAGCTGACTGATGAGTTTCTTAATCGTTATTTTCCCAAAGGTAGAGTGAAAGGCTTCAAGTGGTGATGTTCCTTTAACTAAGTAAGGTTGCTCCATATCCACTACCTTCCACTTATTGCGCTTACCATGGCCTAGTGAAACAGCGAAGTTTTGAGAGTAGGCTGGCCTAGATTCGAATGGGTATCACACGCATATTAAAACAACATTCTATCACTACCATTACTCATATGAGTGCATTATCTACTAGGTCGTTAGGTCTCAGCCATTGAGTACTGACCATTATTATTTGTTTTATAGGGTTACAGTGAGAACTAATTTACTGAAATTGACTCTTTTACAGAAAATCATTAATTGTATACCTTGCTCACAACTTCAGGAAACAGAATTGTTGAACTGGGTAGGTTATTTACGTCATTATGGTGTGCTCAGGAATGTGGAGAGAAAAGCTTCACAGCAATTTATTGACTTTGTTATTGTTATCACACATAGCGACCTTCTTTACAAATCTATCCATGATTTCATTAAAGTATATTCTGGCTTAAATGAAGAGGGATACTTGTTACAGGATTATATCTCTACTAATGGTGCGTTTGACTGCAGTGAATGTAGACTTGATGTAGTTTGACAGAAATGTAGTTTCTAACGCAATGACTACCTCCGGCCTCATCATTGCAGCTGAAAATAAAATATAGCAACTAGTGGAGCGTTGGACAGACCACTAATGTTTTTTTATAGCGCGTCAGTTAAATGGTGGAATATGAAATACCATAAGAAGCACACAATACATTACATGCTGGATCATTGCAACATGGTTCTTAAAGGTGATAATATAAGCATATCAAATAATAAGACAAAAAGTTAAAAGTCAGTTTGTAAACTCATAGCCTTCTGTCACATAAGCCATTACTTTTCTTTAGAAAAACAGATTTTACCCATTCTTAGTTATACTAAAATCTCTTCTGCCCATGCCATTCTCTGAAGAAACGAATTATCCACCTATCACATTCAGTAGAAAGCTTATCAAAACAAATGCCATTTAAAAGCTGCCTTTGAATTCTTTGGGTTTACTAAAAGTGAATGATTAACATAGTGGACTTGTGTCATCCCTTTGTGTTACATCATAGTCCTTTAATCTTCCTTTTTACAAATGGTTGAATATTTATTACAAATATTCATGATTTACCCTGTAGTAAAGTGATTTGGAACAACTCTTATAAAGTCGCATATTTTTTCAGCTGCAGTCTATGTAAATAGTTGAAATGGTGCATAGATTCACTTATCGGGGAAACCCGTGAATCTAAAATTATTTCTATGTTAAATTCTAGATGTGGTATTCTTTTCAGTACCTATAAAGACAACACTCGAATCTTAGGACCTATAAATTATTCATCCTGACTTTGCAAATTAAGTCCTGCTAACAGATATTACTCCTAATTTGCAACATACCGCACTTTTTACTAAATTTTTAGTAATGGTTTGAAGTTTTATGCTAATTTATAAGTTCATTAACGATATCTAAGCAGTGATGTTCATCTCATCATAGAAAAAATCCATTGAAGAAAACACAGTGATACAGCGTTGTTTATTTACTGATGAATTATCTAGCTCGCTAGCATGTCATAATACTAACAAAATTTTCAGATTTAATTTATACAGTTTCATGATTTCTTATCTGTCGACTTCATTAGTAATACGGTTTTCAATTTCTTTTGTATTGGTATTGCGTCATTCCTCGTCGAATTTATTTATGCTTCATGTTATAACATAAATAAGGAATCTTAGGTGCCAACAGTTCACCATATAAAGAAGAGACATCTGAAACCCTATGCATATTCGTTAAGAAGTCTGGAATTCGAATGGCAGTGATACCTACAACTGCATTCAGGGACAGTTTCAGTAGGCTGAATGACCCTAATTACGCGATTAGAAAAAATAGCGTGAACTATAAAACACTTTGCAATGACGATGAGGTCAGCTAGATATAATAATCCTGTAGAGTGAAATCAGTTAGATTATGGAAACTTAGAAATTCCTCCAATTGTAGAATGACACACTTTGAAAAGAGAAAAAAGATAGCAAATAATATGCACATACTCACACCCAACCACACAACAGGGTAGGATGTAGCCACAATTATAAACCTTATATAGTTGGGTGTAGGAAACGGCTGATTACTCAGTCTTAGTTCATCAAATCTATACTAAACACTTGGAATGGAAAATATCATCACGACGAAAATCTAACAAAAGGAAGTAACTAAACTATACAAATCAAATCTAAGAGTTAGGTAAGAGTCTTTCAATCAAGGAATTCTGAATTCTTATGCCCATGATACATCCGATTTCGCAAGGCTTATACTATCTACAAGCATTCCATTGATCAAATTTCCATATCATATCATTAGGGAACCGAGCACAACAAATATGTAAGTTAAGCTATAAATTCTTCCACTTCTTAATTTAAGTTGTAACCAAGTTATGCAGTGAAGACTTTGCGTCTCTCTTTCTAGACAACTTTAAAGATCATCCATTACAGTTCTTCTAATCATAGATATCAGTTATGCCAATAATGTTAAAATTAGCTGTACAGAAAGGTAAATATATGATCAGTTGGGTGTCAACACTATTACCAAATATATTCTATCAGAACTATTCGAGCATAATTGAGTCTTATAACAGGTGTCTAGCATTTACGACAAAATAGCTTTTAGCTTTGCAGCTGTGAATAATTGACTTTCGTCGACTAGGTATTTCAATGTATTTTCATACATGTTAACTGATTGTTCTCTGAGTTTGAACATTTTTCTGGCTTTTGGTATTTCCTTAACTGTAAGACCAAATGGTCTTTACCCTGAGTACTCAGCAGATAAGTTTGCGTAACACTCCCACCTTTGCATCAGGTTTTATTATTCTTCCGGTTGAGAAGATGGTGATATTGTCCAAGTAGTCACGTGTGCGAGTAAAGTTAGCTAGTAGTTATGTACAGACACGGTGTACTACTTTTCTGTTTCGGGCGATGAAACACTTGAATAATGAGATGTACCGAGCCAACCAGTCGCTAAGAGTATTCAGACAACCATTTAGGCTATATTGGTTCAAATCTTCACATTTAAGACCCAAAGAGGAAGACAAACTGGAACTGAATAACCTTAGATAGCTTCTCAACTATAATGTATGTTATTCTTTATTATGCATGGCCTAATAATTATCTTGAACTACAGATTATACTGCACTGTCCAAAATGTTATGACCCCAGTAAATGTCAACTACTATAACCTTACCTAGTCAGAGGAACAGAAGTGTGTTAGTAAAAACTACACAGTCGAAGTTTATGCCACCCATAAATGTGTCATAACTTACATAACATGTAGTCATAGAAACTCAGATGCAGTGCTGTCTAAGCAATAAGTGAAATAACTTACGAGAACATTAGACTTTAGGTCTACGTGAAATAAAAGCTTGAAATTTCTTTAATTGTCATGACACTGAAAAAACAGTACTCAATCTCAGGATATATTAACTAGAATGCGTATCGATAAAGGCCTAGTATTATTATTTATTATTATATCCTTTATTTCCTAAAGAGACATAGGGCTTCAGCTGCGCACCTCCATTGCGTTCGGTTTTCTGCCAACCTTTTGCCCCGCTCCAAGTCTGCCCACATGCTTTCATCTCCTCTTCACATGACCTCCTCCAGTTCATCCTTGCACAGACGACCAACTAGCCGCTTCCCTTTCGGGTTCCACTCGAGCAGTGGCTTGTCTAGTGATGTCACTTGATGGATTCCTCAGAGTATGGCCAGCCAATCCATCTCCATTTCTTCCTGCCTAATGGTTCACAATCGGTTCCTGGTTGGTTCACTCATTCCCAGAGATCCCTGCTGCTGATCTTTTCTGGCCATCTGATCTTGAGTATTGAGCAAATAAAACTGTTAATGAAGGTCTGAAATGTGTTCGAGAAGTCCTTTATGACGCGCCAAGTCTCTGATCCATAAAGTAGCACTGAATTCACATTGAAGTTGAAGATCCGAGTCTTATTTTAGATGCTGACGAGTGCCGTTGACCTCCACACAGACTTAAGAGTATTGAAAGCTTGTCTTGCTTTTCCGGTTCTGGCTTTGATATCCTCGTCAGTTCCGTTTGCCTGTAGTTGAAACGATGCTTCCCAGTTAGGTGGGTTAGTAAAAGAGGTTGTTTCTTTCAGGTTCCTCCCATTTATGCAGGCTGATTGTTGTCTGTTGTTGGTGTTGCTGTTGGTGTTGGCCAGGAATCTTCATCGCCTCTGTTTTCTCTATGACCACCTGAAGTCCTATCTTTGATGCTTCTTCTATGGCCAACTTGTTGCTTTTCACTTGCATAACTTCCAGTTTGTTGGAAATCAGACATATATCATCGGCGAAGTTCATATCCTGCAAGATTTTTGTGAGTCCATTTTATGCCTGTTCCCTGATTGCCCGTTGTCTGTCGCATTATTCAATCTTCCGCAATCAGGAAGATCATCAGTGATAGTAGGCAACCTTGCCTTACTCCCGTTTTCACTTCGAAGGATTCCGTAAGTTTCCCGTTGTGGATTACTTGGCATGCGCCATTGTCGTATAACTGTTTGATAAGATGTATAATTGTCGATGGGACGCCACAGTAGCAGCGAAGAAGTTGCCAAACACCTATCGATCGACGCTGCGCTATCGAAGGCCTTTTCAAAGTCGATGAAGTTGAGTGAGGTGGAGAGGTGACTGCCATTCCAAGCTTTGTTCAATGATGATCCGTAGAGTGGCGATCTGATCAATACATGACTTGTTTCTCCTGAATCCAGCTTGTCCCAGTCGGAGCTTTTCATCCAGGTTGGCTTGTTTGATTCTCTCCAAGATGATGTGGCGTAGTATTTTGCTTGGGATGGACAGGAGCATAATTCCGCACCAGTTTTTGCATTGAATTAGGTCTCCTTTCTTTGTAAGTTTGAATAAGTATCCTTTCTACCAATCCCCAGGTACTTTGCCCTCTTTCCACACCTATTCCAGTAGTGGTGTCATCAACTCCGCTGTTGTCTCTGGGTCCATTTTCAAAGCTTCTGCTGGGATTCCGTCTGGTCCTGGTGCTTTCGCAGCTTTTAGCATCTTGATTGCATTCAGGACTTCCGATTTCGTCGGCGGGTAGATGTTCACTGGTAGTTCTGCTTCCATTGTTGGTATTGTTGGGCACGCTGTAGGTGGCGGTCGATTTGGAAGTCTTTTGAAGTTGAATATACAATATTATTTCATTTTAAAGTGATTGTATTTGTGGAAGTACTTCCAAAAACTGTCGACATTAAATTTGCCATTTGACAACTTCATAAAAGGTAGTAAAACAACTCTCAAAACCATTACCTATAGGTTCGAGATTCATTATCGATTTTTGAAATTTGTAAACTGTATTCAAAATGTGAACCCAAATCTTATGCGAATATGAAAAACCCATTCAACATAATGTGAAAATTTCATAAACAGCGAAGTCGAAAGGTGAAATGAAATAAACGTCTTCATGCAACATTAGATAAAAGCTAGTCTCAAACTACACACCCTAACTTCAGTTACATTTGAACTTTGTCTATTGTTTATTCAAATCTATTTTGTATAATAATATGTTTTAAACTCAGTCATTTGTTATATTAGTGGCAGTTCTAAAAATAACTTGACAAAATTGATAGAAGAGAATTACTTCCCTTTATGAATTCAGACAAAGCAATAAGAAGAGATGATTTGTCTAACTTGTGCAATGCATTTGCTCAACACATTTCGAACAGTCTGATTACACATAGGACATAAAACTGTTGTTTGCACGTCTTTTAAATCTACCTATAGAAAAAGTGTGTGGGGAGCATCCTAAAGTTTGTGGAAGCCCTAGCAACTATGATGTCTACACCACCTTTATGTGTTCAAAAGCAGCTCATCATCACACTAAGCCTTCCTTGGTAAATTTTGTTTTGATAGCATAGCAGATGTATTATTACCTCCCATCTTTAGTTTGGTGATCTTCATTGTTATTTTGACCTGCAATATTTCCTTTTAACGTCACCTAAATCTATTTCCTCACCACTTAACCTTTTATTAATTCCACATCTATTCCTATGACAAGTCCGTGTGTAATCAGATTGTTCGAGATGTATTGCGCAAATATATTACGCTTTTCAGATAAATTACATCTTTTTATAGCTTTGCCTAAATATTAACATAAATGTAGACTGTGATACAGGGGATGCTTTCTTTTGTATGTAGACGTATCAGTTCAACAGATTGGTGAGTTCATTTTACAATGTCCTCACATTTATATCAGCTTTATAAACTTGAAAGTACATTCTTAGGAGACTAATTGGTTTTGCGGCTTTAGGACCACTTGTCTTCTAAATCACATTATTTAAACAATCACTACAGTTAAAAAGTGGGAGGTAAAAGTAGCAATATGGTACAGGACGAAGGACCAGAAAACCATATACACATATGAAAAATAAAACAACATCAGGTAGGTAGTTACCTGGGTTCCAGTGGGAAGTCGTGACCAGTAGGGTGCAGCCGGTCGGGTGTGAGGACAAATACTCGCCGAAGACATTCGCTAGCGGTTGCGCTATGTCGTGAATTGGCAGAAGTTAGAATTCAAGGACCATTGGATCGGGTCCCAGTGGCTTATTGGTATACGAGCTCGCCTTGTAATCGGAAGGTCCTGGGTTCGAATCCCGGTAGGTGCGTACTGCTGAAGAGTCCCAAACTAGGACGAAACAGCTGTCCAGTACTCCCAGGTTTTCCAATAGTTCTCTAATTAATGTCAGCTCATGATGAAATTCTGAAAACAACATCTCTCAATGTATCTTACATGGGTGTGTTGAACTGATAAAAGAAATTTAAGTTGTATTCACACAGTTGGACCAAATGAATGCCATCGTCACGAATTATTTTAAAAAAGCCTAATGATGAACTGATTCAAAGAGAGCACACCATTTCTGAAATACCTGATTCTTTATAATGTAAGCAGTAACACCTTTACTTTTACTGTTTGCCTACATTTAACGTTTTATTTAAAAAGACACAGTAATAGAAAACAATATGTCGAAGCACACTGCTAATGCTCAGATTAACACAAAACAATAGCGTATTGCATAGTGTCATGATCACATGATATTACTTTGAAAATGAAGGTGTTCAAGAAATTATTACTGAAATGTCATCAAGTAAATATTGTATGTCAGTGAAATATGGATTTATTATTATAATTCACTCCTTGTGTTCTCAGGAGAACATAGCAAGTCAGTGGCACATTTCAATCCCACCCTGTTTCCTTACACCGCCTTTAGCTGACTACACAACTGTCGATTAGCTCCCATTTCCTTTTCAAATGATTTCATCTTTGTCATCCACGGACTAGCGTCAAACTAGCGTATTTCTATTACAGTTCCCCTTAAGTATCTGTCTGCCAAGGGATACCACTTGGATATCTCCACAGTGTATATCCAATCTCTTCCAACTCAAAATGTTATTATACTGCATCACAATATTAAGTTTCTCTCACTTTGATCTTCATTAATTATTCTAATATCGCAAATGATAATCCTTTTTCTCTTTTGACATTCACTTTATAGAAACAATTGTCTTAGACAATGGTATGGATAAAATTAAGTTATTTTTTTTATCAGCGTGATCAGTTATTTAAGAAAAATAAGAACAATGTTTCCTTACACGTCTACACGGCGTGATAACCCAAGAATATTTTCGTTTAAGTGAAGTCACAATAGATGTGTAAACATACATGAGCATGTCAGTATATTCTGATTTTGTTCAGTGTAATAGTGCAAAGTAGTTAAATACTGATATTTGGACTTTCAATGACAAAAATAAATAAACAGAATTTCAACATCCTAAGGAACTACACTTATAGTGTAACAACAGAAGACGAGAGCCAGGCAACAGATCGTTTATTTAGGAAATCAACGGATATTTAAAAATTTTCATGTACATCATTATAGATTATCTAAGCAAACGAACACAGTCTTCTGATAAGTTTTTTCTCATTAATCTTTCATCTCTTTGTGACCGTTTATTGAAGTTCAGATTATCTCTCTGCCATTTGCATCCGCTTACGCAAAGTTTGCTGTGATTTAGTGTTGTTGAATCAGTCTTTATACATATTTTTCTCACGAACAATATTGAGGATGTAAACATTGACGTAAATAAGTTTCTACCAATTTGGCTATCAGTCAGATCTCACTACAATTTTAATACTGCGTATACCTATTGATGAATTCGAGTTTACATATAAATTTGAGAATGCGACAATTTCGCTTGGCTATAGTTTTATCATTCAACAGTAAAGAAATGCAATAGCTTCTAACAACTAACTTCTACAACCCATTTTAAGGTATCTATTCTCAAGCCGTTTGAAAGATTACATCGTCAAGATCATTATCCAGTTGATATTACCAAATTTATCTCTAAAGTGGCAAGTACAAATGTACCGACGATGAATTCCAAAGTTATATATTCACCCAAATAAAGAATTCTGTGAATACTATGAATATAAGAAAGTAAAGTGACATTCAAACCCGCTGATTCACCTAAAGACTAATTATATCGGCATAAACATCACTAAAGTCCATTAGAGAAATTAATGCATTTTATCTAATACCTTTTATTGACATTGAGGTTAAATAAATAGATTAAAGTATTAGATTACATTTAATTAGATTAACGACGCCAAAGTTAATCGATACCTTGACTAGGTAGATCTTAACAAGAAATGAAATCCATAAAAATCTAAGCTATCATACCAAACGCATTTACACAACTATACGATAAGATGGGACACGGTGACACCCCCACGTAAAATGGCAAAACGAGACACTGACAATTGAAGCACTATTTTTTTAAATTTTATTTTTGATTACAGCTTGATTCCATACCGTATTTTTGGTACAAGTATGGAATTTTCAGCATGGATATCGGTAGCCCAAATTTCGCAGGCCGACCATAGATATCAGGTGTGCGTCGTCGGCAGGGGCTCGACCCGGGACCATGTGCATGGTCGGCGAGAGTCCTAACCACTGTGCCACCGACGCACATCAAATCAACTGGGAATACATGCAAAAAGGGCATCTCGAAAATTATACTATACATATGACAAATACAAAATAAAAAGTAGAGTTACGAAAACCAAATTTCTTAGCTGTGTAGTTCCAGCTGATATGGTAAATCAGCCATGTTCAAAATTTTATCCAGTAAATAATACTGTCTCATTGTCGGTTTGTGACATATTTAATGAAGAAATCAGCATGGGATGATATCTTTCCACAGTGTCCGAGTTATTTACACATATTCCGTTGAAGATGGGTTAGGATTTAAAATGTGATATACACAACAAAGTGTGCAAAAGAATTAAATCTTTTCCAAATGCCCAGGATATCATAACAGGGATCTATTTTAAAATATTATGCACTGGCATATTTCAGAATGCATTTTTGAAAAATAAACACTAACCGTTGATATCTTTAGAGTGGAAATTTTATTAAATACGTGGAATATACCTTGTAAATAAATCGTTTATGACAAAATATCCGTGCTTAAATAATTTTACTTTGACTTCCTTCCTGAACACATTACTTTTTTAGAAAATAAAGTGGCTAGACTGGCTTAGTTTAGAAGACGTGATATTTCCCTCCTAATTGTGGAAAGTAAAATTTTTATATAGTTACTTTACAAAACTGCATTCTTGACAAAGTTCACCAAATGTGTGGGCAGTAAATATCCGCTCTTCATAATCACCAAAATTCGAATACAACTTCACAGATGTCCTTGGCAAATATTGGACAAAACTGCTAAATTTTGTTATCCAAATTATTTCTTATTAATGTTCTATTGTCTGAAGAATGCTATCGAGATCAAGCCAATTGATTTTACTTAAGTTTTAGACAAAAAGGCAGTTCGAATCCATAATTAAGGAGTGTTTCGTAGATATAACAAAATACTAAAGTGTAAGTACTAAGATCATGGAAAAATAAAGTGTCAGATGGAGACAATGTACAATTATATATTTAAAAATCTATATGACAGCAGTTTATCGGTCAAAATTGAACCGCAGTCTTCTTGTCAATCTCCTTAAACTGTCTAAAACTACATAAACAATGACAACAATTTTTCAAACATTTGTTTCCAGGGAGTTGATTGGTTACAGGTTTGATCATGGGCTAACACCAGTCAGAGAATCTTTTGGTTTCAGCGAAAACTCGTAGACCATTCAGACCCTGAGACCTCATCCAATGGCCATTTAATTCCAACTTTTGACAATTCACGATATTTATGGCAACCACCAGTAAACGTCACCAGAGAGTAATGTAATTAATAAGCGTCTGCATCACTGTAGAATATACCATAATCAAAATCAGAAGTCTTCTACTAGTGCTGCATCTACACTAATAAGTCACACACTTATCCCATGATTGCAATACAAAAAATAAAGAACTGGTAGTACTTTGAATGAAATCAACAAACGCAAGTTAACGCTTTCTCCTTCTAAATATAAGAAAATGTTTTGTAACAATTAGAAGTAATTAGTCAGTGGAGTGAGATTTAAGAGAAACATTTCCGTCTGAGCTATTGCGATAGGAGGCCTTGGAACATCCCATGACCAGAAAATCTGCACTATCTTCTTTAAAGTCTGTACAAAATCTAAAGGTAATTTTGTTGTCTACCGATTTCTGGGTATATGACAAATTAATATCACAATGCTTACCAAACCTTTCAAATAATGTATCTTTTGAATAAATAACTTCATTCAAGTATGATAAAGAACTCACTGTATACAACACCTGTTTTTTTAATGGTCTTGGTATTTTGTCTATGCCTTTAAGTAGATCAAAACAATCTAAATGAAGATGAAAACGTTAAACGTAATATAACTATCTAAAAGCTGCTTTTAGCAGAAATATGATGTGATCTGCCTGCATCTGTACAATATGATCTTGTCTTTATTTGTTTTATTTTTTAAAACGATGCCGTCTCTTAAGCTAATCTAACTTGCTATTGATTTTGTTTCACATAGAAGCAGAATGCCATGGACACAGTGAGTGGAATTAAAAATTGTCTACTCAGCATAGCTTCACTTCTAATGTCTGCAAGGAAAAAGAATACTAAATTCTTCTTTTTTGCGAAATGTATTGCAGTATTGAAACTTGAAGAATGTTCCAAAATCTGTTTCTGTGTCACGAAAATAATATATGTTCTAATACTTTACAGACGTCCTCTATACGCAATCCGGACGAAAAATACCATTCTTAGTGGAAACAGTGGAATAAATAAAATACACTTTGTAAAAAAGATCCGTCTTTGAAAATCCTGTTTCTCTAAAAATAAATTAAAAATGTCATCATACTCTTTGGCAATGAAAGTACAAAAATAGACTTCTGGCCTTCACCTGCTTCAAAATACAATAAAAATCGGGTGAAAAACTCATATTCACAGAGCTGTTAACAGTCAAGTAGAAATCATAAAGTCTTATCGAGTTTTTGTAATGATTCTGTTATAAGTGATACCCAGCGTCAGAAAATGTAGTTCATATCTAGTGCTACCAAACAGCAGTGAATCAATCATTATTATAGGTAAAATATATGTATTTAAGAACTCAAAACCATTATATAATACTTCATTATAAACCTTTAATTTAGTAGCCTAAACATTTGTTGAAAATTAGGTATCTCATTATTGATGATATGACATTACGGTGACAAAATCTCCTCAGCTGAAATAAACTAGAGTGGATAGGTAGTCAAATTGTATTCAGTAGCTTAATGATAAAGATCTCGCCTTTTAAACTGAAGTTTTCATAATCCCAATCCTGGTTAGTTCGTAAATTTTCATTAGTTGACAGCACTTAACACAGACTTAGTGCTACTAGCATTTCACAGGATTTCTAAGTGGTGTTACTTCTATATGAAGTTCACCACGAAACTGACGAAATCCCCACAATAACGACATGGGAAATTTGAGTGATTAAGACGTTTTTTCCTTTGTTCGCTGTCAAGATATAAATGAATAAGCGTACAATTATTAGTCAAACTGCCGATGTTGTAATCTGAATATTTATAAAACTGCCAAGATTGCATGGTTTCAAATTATTTGTAAATGGTAATCAACAGTTTATTCAAGTGCCTAGAAGAAGGCGACAGTGCTTCCTTTAATGGAACTTTGAAGCATGGCAGAAAGTGGATACTTTTCTAAATAACACCGAAATGTTGCCAATATAAGAACATAGTAAATGATCTCATAGCACTTAAACAGTTGAGTCAGACTAGCGCATATTGTTTGGAGGTTTTCCAGTGAAAGTAATGAAAAAGAACACTTCTGCAGTAAACCTATAACCTGAAAGGTTGTTACTATGTGTATACTTAAATTTCTCCTCTGTATTATCCTGACATGTTAGTATTGCGCCTGCAGACACTTGTCAAACATTATCTGTGAAATACAATGCATGATTAAAACCACAAGGCCATTTTATTTAACAAACGCCCCATATACTTCACATAATTGATTAACCATGCAACTTTCTTTGTTTTTTGTTAAAATTACCGGAGTTGACTCGTATGCATCATTGAAACTGTCATGAAATATCTCGTTGTATTTTTAATGGAACACACTCCATGACATAAGTAAGTAACAATGTATATGTTCATGAAATATATGACATGCATTAGTAAAATGTCATCAAAAGGAAACCAAACATGTTCTCCTTATATATCCTTCAAAGCTTATAAAGTAGAAAAAACATCCTGACTCAAGCATATTTTTAAAAATTTCACTACTAAAAAACTGATTAGTTAAAGCAATACATCTTCGTTTTTAGTTTCGCTTTGACACTGAAGTCAGGACAAGTATTAAAAAAGCAAAGATTTATCTTTTCAGTAATGAGAGAGTATATATTTAACTTAATATTTAACTTGCAGTTCTTTTAAACACATACCATCATGATCTGACATCTCTAGTTGCATCCCATGTGAAATTCAGCTCAGATAATGCTGGTAGAATGTAAATAATGAAGTAAGAAAACAACACAATCTAACTACTAGATCCTCGTCGTGTGACATGTAACTATCTGGCACTCTACTGGACTGTTTCTGTAAATGTGGTCTGATAGGACTGTTAGAGTGCTTGACTGAATATCAGCAAGCTTGTCTTTCTGATATTGTGTCAACAAACTCTAGTTGCGCGGCTGTCGTGATTTCAGTTAAACTTAGCCATCAGTCCTCTTTGTCTGAAACATCACTCATTTCAGAGTTTTGAATACTGATTTACGAAGACTGCAGATGTCGTCAGTAATGAATAAACTGATGTAAGAAAGTTAACTTACAGAAAAACAATCAAACAATAAATTTCACTTAGCTCTCGGGATTAACAACATGCAACACTTTTTTCTACAAAATTTAGAGATTTGTTTTATGTACTTGCAGGTAATGATGCTTCATATTTCGGTGAGTATATATTTTTAGAAAGATTTGTGAAATAATACAAACCTTTACCCAATGAGTTATATTTTGTATATTCTAGCATCAATTATATGGTTAAATCAAGTCTTATTCCTAAGATTTCAATTAAAATACCCTAAAATGATTTAATTAGACACATTTATTTCTTATTCTTTTTGTGCCGTTCAATATTTGCTCTCAACTTTTTAAATTCACTCTCAATATAAAACAAAAAGGACTATAGAGAAGAAGGCGAAATGGAAATGTCCGGCTGAATCCCGAAGTCTCACTCGGAACCGAAAGGAATAATAATGAGTAATATGAAATTTTAACTTACATAGACATGCTTGATGAAGTATATACCAGCGCATTTTGATGTTATGCCAGTAGTTGAAATAAACTAAACTGGCAAATGGTGAAACAGTATGACTGGCTATTCCCAAAATGCATTTATTTTCACTATTTTGCAACGTTTTAATACACTAAAGGTTCCCATTAAAATATTCAGAAGACTGACTGATGAACAAAGAATATTCTTTTCAATAAATTTGTTATCAGGTTCCACATCTATATGAGAGTAATAAATAAAGGAATATTGTTATTACCAATATTAATGTTTTAAATCACCCCGAATAATTATTTTCAACAAATGCCATTTCAAAAGCATCAAAAAGAGATCATATGCATTAACATAACACTGAACTATTACTCTCAAAAAGAGACTCACAGAGACTTGCTTGAAACGCTGGGCTACCTAAATTTTCTATCTCTCAAACCTCTACCTCAACTTTATAGACTTTCAAAACGCCTTCGACAGCGGTGACTGCGAAGTAATTTGGAAACTACTCGAGTACTACGGCGTACCCCAAATATTCATCAAACATATTTAACAGCTGTACGACGACGGCACATGTCAAGTGATCCACACCGGAAAACTCAGTGAGGCGTTTGGAGTAAACACAGGAGTCAGACAAGGATGCTTATTATAACCGATGATATTTCTAATTGTGGTGGACTGAATTATGTGTCAGACAGTGGGAAATGAGAACACAGGGATATCCTGGACCGACGTGAAGAACCTAGAAGACCTGGATTTCGCGCGTGGATGACTAATGGTTGATGTTACACAAAATCCAAGACTTACAAGCAAAAACTGACAAACTGGTCGAAGAAGCAGCCGGCGAAGACATGACTCCAGGAGAACATAGACAAGACGGAGGTTATGAAAATAACCAACCAACCAAGAACAACAGCAGCAACATCAAGCGCCAATCACCATCAATGGGAGGGATTTGAAAAAGGTTACTTTATTCACTCACTTACCTAGCGAGCATTGTATTAACTGCAGGGAGTCGGAGCGGACGAGGATGTCAAATCGAGCGAGAATCGGGAACGCGAGAAACATTCATCAACCTGAAACCAATCTGGAAGTCTTCGACACTCAGCCAGCATCAACAACAAAATCCGGTCGGATTTTCAATACAAACGTCAAGTCAGTCAGTTTTTCTATACGGATCAGAAACATGGTGGGTGGGTCACAAAGAGTATTTTCAACAGCCTGTTGCAGACCTTTATCAACAACTGTCTTCTATGGATCTATATGGAAGATCAGATGGCCGGGACGGAAAGAATCACCAACAAGAAACTATGGGAACAAACAAACAAAACAAGAACCAATCGCCAACCAAAAAATATGCAGGAGAAAGTGGAGATGGATTCTATACTAGCTGAGGAGGCTGCTGGGTGACATCGCGCGCGCGTCAGGCCATTGCTCGAGTGGAACCAGGCCGAAAGGGAAGCGGTGAGTGAGACGTCAGTGCGAGGGTGACATGGAGGAGATCGTGTGAAGAGGGGTTGAAAGAGTATGGACTAACATGGATCCAGGTGAAAAGTACAGCAGAAGAAAGATAGAAGCAAGTGGAGGGAGACGTGCAGTTGAAGCCCTATGTTCCACTAGGAACCCAAGGGGACAATAAAAATAATTATATTATTCGAAGATTATGCAAATGGAATATATACCTTGCAATGAAACTCTCCGAGAATTTTGTATTATATAAAAAGCGTTTTAGGAACATAGCTATTATTATTATACTATTATAACTAAATATCAGATAAATTAAGAGAATCAACATAGAACTTACAAATTTTTATTCTCGACAGCGGGCTAGGGTAATGTCTGGAACTGCCTATCTTTCACTCAGAGATCTGAATGGTTCAGGCGAATTGCAGTGGACTTTGCTGCTTGGTGTGTTTAATACCTAAGGGCTTTGGTAATTTATTTGATACTCCGTAGATGAAAGAGCAAGACTCTTCCACACTGCCTTTGTGGCTCATCTGAAAGAGGTGGTCTATTGTAGAACTATCGATGATTTAAATAATACCTTTGTTATTATTACTGTCATATATTTGTTTAATCTGACAAAGAATTTATCGAAAAGAATAATCTCTGGTTATCAAACAATATTTTATAATAGTTTAAATATGATTATTTGGATATTTCACTGCCACTCATTTCTCATCGCTACAGTGGTTATTACAAAGGTACTGTCTCACTTACCCTCTCTCTCTCTGAAATCCTGGAAAAATATTTATTCCCTTTGAACATATAATGACTCTTTGTTTGTATTTAGCGAGACGAAACCCTGATATACGTAAGTGTTATTTGTTAGAGATAAATTCGTCTTTGTATGTATTTTATGCAGATACTAATATTATACTTGAACTTCTATTTGCTCAGAATTAAAATTATTTTATCTAAATTCCTGGAGCAAAAACATAATACCATTCAAAAAGGCCACAAACGAAATTCCATTTCACTTCTGTAATTCTGGCATAATCTGAATAAATTTACAGTTATGAGAGATTTTACTAAGTTCAATGTTTAATTGAACTTGTTCTTGGATTATTAATAACTTTCCTTAATTTGTGACTCTTTTAATAAGTAAAAAATCCTTTATAATTATGCCTGTTATATAAGTTAAAACGTCTGACAATTTTCTAAACTATGAAGATGACGAATAGGGTAAAATATATGTCAATCACTGAATTTTTCTAACAAGGTCATTATGACAATTTCAGTATTAAAACTTTACGTGATCTAATGTACTTAAATTCTGTTAGGAATGACCTCTGCCTAAATAGGTGGTCTTATTGTGGACCTCGGTAAGTGCGAATTAATAGTTTCTAAAAGCGTATTTTTCAAAACAAATTCTTATTTCTCCAAAATGTGTCTCAAATACGATGTAGTGTGTTAAGGCATGAAAGCCGTTATTATATTCACTGAAGTGTATACATCAGAAAAAGATTTTCAAGTCTGTCAGCCGCCAGCATTATTAACTTATATATAAAGGTAAATCATGAACCACTCTAGCGCTTCAAAGTGACTTAAAATAGGTTCAACTGTCATGAGTTCTATTGTATGGCTGTTAACACTAGGATTCA